CGGGGGGGGGGGTGCCCAGGGGCTACACAAGGGGAGGGGAGGCCAGGGAGAGCTGGAACCCCAGGCAGTAGGTCGAGCCCTTCTGCTCTGGGGACTGGAGCACCCCTGTCCATCTTGGCCTTCCTGTCCAGGGCAGGGCAGGGGGCGTGTGGGGTCCTTACCAGCGGTCAGACAGGGTCAGCGGCAGCTGGGGCTTGGGCAGCTTGAGCTGCTGCTCCCGGATGGCGTAAGCCAGCACCTGCCGGTCCGAGTGGTGAGGGTAGGGCTGCGTGCCCAGCTCAAAGAGCTCCCAGATGGTCACTCCCAGGGACCTGGGGGGACGACAGCCATGAGAAGGGGCTGGGCATGGCAGGCCACCGCACTGGCCACACAAGATCTTTGGATGCCTAAGGGGCAGCTCCTGTCACCACGCCAGCACCTCTGGGACCAGGATTCAGTACTGCACCTGCCGCTCCTCCTCAAGGACAGCTGATCCCATCAGCAAATGGATAGAACATGCCACCCTGGCCAGGCCCAAGCTCAGGGCCCAGAGCACCTAGTGAATAAAAGCCAGACTGGCCTTGTGTGAAGTCAAGTTCATTCACTCATCCACCCATGCACTTGACACACTGAAGACCAGACACTGAGCCAAGTGTGGGAGCTGAGGAGGGCGTGGGGCCCAGGCCAGGGCGGCCCATGGGGTGTGAGGCTAAGGGGGATGAGTCTGGGGGAGCCCAGCCTAGCATGGGTAGGACCCAGGCAACAGTCAGGGGCACCCAGAGCACACAGCGCTGGGAGAATGCAACTGGGGGTTCCTTCCTGTGGGCAGTGACTTTGCCCGGCTCCCGTGAACCCCAGGCTGTCCCAAGAGGCTGGGGGAGCGGAGGACAGCTGATTTGGCAATGGAGAAGTCACAGTGACCTTGGCCACAGCCCTGTGACTGGGAACCCCAGTCAGCGTGCAGTGGGGTGGGCAGACCAGGAAGGAGCACCTCAAAGGAGAAGGGAGGACGGAGATGGAGTGTCTGTGAGGGGATCACAGGTAAATGGCTTAGGGGAGGGGCCCTGGAAGCTCAGGAGGGAGCTGGTCTACAGATCCAGACCCGGGATTCACCAGGAGCAGAGGCCCGGGGAGTGGGTCAAGGCCGGAAATGGGCACCCACCTTGGCAGGAGATGCCCCCACGGAAGCCTGCGCCTCTGGATTCCCCAGGGCAGCTTGGCCCAACCCTCTGGAGCTGCAGCACCAGGTCTGACTGACACCCCTCTGTGCTCGCTCAGAGCTGGGGACTCAGGATGGGGGGCTTCCAGGCTGCAGTCATGGGAGATTCCCCAGCACCCCTCCCTGTCAGCTCCTCTGCCTGACATGGCCTGACCTGCACCCCCACAAAGGCAGCCAACACCCCCGAGAGCCTTTCCACAGGAAAAGGTGAAAGCTGAGGCTCCACGTCCCAGAAAGCCCACGCTGCAGCTCAAAGTGGGCTGTAGTGGGCTTTGGAATCTAAATGTGTGCTCTGACCTGGTACTGGTGGCTGTCAGCCCAGTGGGTCCTGGGAGGCCCGGGTACCCTGTCAAGGTGGTACCTCTGCCAGTGCAGGGTCCCCACAGACTCTGCTGCTGTGGGCTGCTGGGACCCAGCAGGAACAGGTGGCACCTTGTGAGTGGCCACGGTTGACAGACACGAGCACGTCACCTCACACATAGCTTTCTCTAGGTGTCCAGCCGTGTCCCACCAGCAAGAGAAGAAAGGATGGGGGTGGCGGTGGGACACAGCTCCCTGGTGTCTCAGCGGGCCTGCCACCCCACATCGTTGCTGGGTGTCCACGCGGGCACTGGGCAGCCATGCAGGCGGGCAACAGGTCCCGCCGGCCGCACTCACCACACGTTGCTGGCCCTGGTCTGGTCCACCACCAGCAGGTTGCCGTGCACCTCGTCCACCAACTCAGGCGCGATCCAGCGCAGCGGCACCCACAGCTGGTCAGCGGTCACGAAGTAGTCTTCCTGTGGCACACGGGGACAGGGTCACCTTTCCAGGCGGCCACCCCACCCCACATGCCCGGTCCGGCCTGACTTACTCTGTACTTGCAGTGGGACAGGCCGTAGTCGCCGATCTTCACTGTCAGGTCGGCTGTGAGCAGGCAATTCCGCAGGGCCAGGTCGCTGCGGGCAGGAGGCAGGGTCAGCTGACTGTGCCGGGCTGGAGACGTCCAGCACTGACGGTCCTTTGCCAATGACTGCGTGACTTGTCACCCAAGGCATCTGGGTTCAGCCCATCAGGCAGGTGGGAAAGGGGGTCCCCACCCCTGCCCAGAGCCCCACCCCCCCAGCACTGGGCGCTTGGAAGGTCCGTGTGGACGGGACCTCCAACATTACGATGCCAGCACTAGGCCATCCCTGACCCCCTCCACCCTTCTGCTGGAACATGTCTGCTGCCCTGCCTCACAGCCACACCAGGCCAGAGAGAGCCCCGGCCGTAGGTCTGCAGTTCTCCCTCCAGTACTCCCCTCACAACCCCACTCCCCCATCACCCCAGCTTCTTGGAAGGGAGGAACAAATGGGGAAACTGAGTCCTGGAGTGTCACAGGGTCCTGTCAGCAGGCACAGTCCATGTTCCAGGGCCTGGCCCGGACTGTCAGTCTGCAGAGCTTGCAGGTTACCCCTGGCACTACGTTCAACCCAGCAGCCGGTTTGGGGCTGCCGGCTTTTACCCCCACTGGGCTGGTGGCCACATGGGCATTTGGGGCACAGGGCACTGGGGCAAATATGGGGCCAGCCCATACCCGCCATGTTGCTGCTGTGCTGACGACTCCAGGTGGGGATGCAGCGGGCCAGCCTGACCCTCCCCCAGGCCTGTATCTGGGTGCCGGGGGCTGTGGGGGCTGGGCCCGGCAGGCAGGTCAGGAGGCTGGCAGCTGCCCTCTCCAACAAAATCACTGATGCTGGAGTTGCATGTGTCATCACTCAGCACCAGGATCTTGTTGGGGAGGACAGCCTGTGTGGCAGCCAGGTCTGGCGGGGCCACTCATCCATCACTGCTCCTTCCAGCACGCCCCTCGGGCTCCCTGGGGCATCCTGGCCAGAAGCAGGACACAGCCGTCCCTCACACTGCAGGGTCAGCTAAGCCCTTCCTCTGGGACCGGGGGGACAGAGCGTGGGGCCGCCGGAGGTGGCTGACCACCTCAGGGACAGAGGACAGGCCAGATGGACAGTATGTGCTCCTGTGTTTAACTCCTACAAATCAGGTGTCAGACCCCTATCTTCCCAATTTCTTAATTTAATGAAATGCCCTTCATGGTGGTTATCCGATGCTGTACAAAGATTCAATCGGTTCACCTTCACAACGCCCTAAGTAGGAATCGCCGTCACCCCTGCTGCAGGCGAGGAGGCTGAGGCACGGAGCGCCAGCGCCCGGTGCCCGCCCTCACCTGTGCACATAGTTGTTGCGATGCAGGTGCACGATGCCACAGGCCACCTCACAGGCCATGCGCTGCAGGGTCAGGGGGTCGGGCACCACAGACTCTGTCACCCGGCAGCTCCGCAGGTAACCCTTGAGGTCCCCCTGCCGAAAGGGAGCATAGCACAGTCACCTGCCACTGGGGAGCAGCCACCAGCACAAGCCTGCACCTGGCCCTGGAAGGGCCTCCCCCAACCCCTCCATCCCCATGCCAGGAACAGGTGGGGCTCAGCCGGTGCCCGTTAACAGCTGCAGGGCAGCAGCTGCCCAGAGGAGCCACTGCATCCTGCCCATAGCAGCTGGCACTGGGCTGCTCCTGGAGAGGGGCTGTGTGCCCCAGGGATGGGCCAGGCCATGCACCAGCCAGGGGGACCCCACGGGCAGGTGGCACTTTACAGGACACTCTCTCTAAACTGCCCCTGTCAGCCAGTTCTGTGGGGTCAGTAGGCCATGTCCTGTGGTACCAACGAGAACATGGGCCCAAATGGATGCCCTTGCCACCACCACACAAGCTGGGACTGTGGGCCACAGCGGAAACCGGGGCTGGTGACCAGAGGGTCAGCTGGCAGCCCCTGACCTGCTGACACAGCCCAGCTCCAGGGAGGGCCCAGACGTCAAGAGTTCAGACACCAGACTGTGAGGGCCTGTGTCTCACAGGAAGCCAGCAGGGGACCCAGTTCTGCTGCAGGTGGCCTTGGTGTTGGCCTTGGCGGGCACCTCAGCTCTGCCACAGCTGTGTGTGTGCAAAGGGGGCCCAAGGTGAGTGGCTTGCAGGCACGAGACTCAGAGTCAGCCCTGGGGAAGTGGCCTGGTCTGAGGCCCTCACGGTTAAAACACAAGCCTGAGTGAGGCTGGGGAGCTGGAGTGAGTGTGTGGCCCACGGTGGCCCAGATGCCTTGTGCTAAAGCACCGCCCAGGCTGCTCCCAGGAGCACAGGCAGGTGGGCAGGTAGCCCCAGGCCCGCACTGCCCACCCCACAGCCCCCTCCTTAGTGAGGCTGGGTCAGCCCTCTGCAGGTGGTGAGACAGAGCCCTCCAGGGCCCTGCTTTAGGGAGGATGTGAGGCCCACGGGGGTGGGGGGGCAGCCCCTATGCTGGCAGGGCAAGGGAGGACCCCAGCTCAGCAAAGTCCCCCCACCCTGCTCCTTCCCATCTGGAGCAGCAGCAACTCACCAGCGGACAGAACTCCATCACCAGCAGGTAGGGTGTCACCTCAGCGCACTGGGCCAGGCACTGGAGCAGGTTGCTATGCTGCAGGGCCCTGCGAGAGCCAACATGCTGTCCCTGACTCCAGTGGGGGACAGCACAGAGCCTGCCTGTGTCACAGGGAGTAGCCCCTGCCCCTCCCCACCCGGCCACTGCCCGCCACCTCCGTGGCATGTCCCAGGTGCCACCCACCTGTAGGGCTGCGCCTCCTCCAGAAACTGCATCTGCTCCTGCACGCTGGCACTCGCCTGCAACTCCTTCACCACTACCTGGGTGCTGCTGACACCCGAGGTCACCTCCCCCAGGAACACCTGCCGGGGACAGGCATCACCCTGGGCCCCCTCCCAGAGCTGCAGCTTCCAGTCCTTGCTGTTGCTCCACCCCAAGGACAAGTCACTTCTCTTCCTGTGCCTCAGTTTACTCGTGTGCAGAGTGGGTGCCGGCCCCCCTGGTGAGCCCTTCCTGCTCTGACACTATCTTCTGTGTTCATTGCCCCAAGGTCCCCAGCTGTTCTCGCTGTCTCTGGGAGTCTGCCATGAGGAAGAAGAACCTGGTGGCCCCATCCAGGCTGGGGGCCGGGGAGTAGCCAGGACCGAGATGCTGCCCCAGGCACCTCCCAGCACCTCTGACGCCAGACCCGGAGGACCTCCCTGGGAGGGCCCAGCAGGCCAGGGCCTGGAGAGGGGACCCTGGGTGGGGTGGGGCTCACACTCACCTTCCCGAACCAGCCGTGGCCGATCTCCTTCAGGTACAGGAGGCTGTGCCGGCCCAGGTCTGTGGACCTGAGGAGCTGCACTGTAACAGGGCGGGGGCTCAGGGACCCTGCTCGGCCTCTTCACCTTCCCATCTTCCTCCCCCGGACCCGCAGGGGGCTGCCTGCTTGGCCTGTCCTAGGGAGCCACTGAATCCCCCAGTGCCAGCCGGGGAGGGCAGGTCAGGCCACCGGGGCAGAGGCTACACCGTTCAGAGCTGAGGCCTCTCAGGGGCAGGGGCAGCTGCTGCCCACGAGAGCTGTGGGTCCACAGGCTCCGTCCATCCTTGTGGGTAGTTCTGTGGAAGGGGTGCCTGGAGCCCCAGGACAAGCCAGGCTGGAGGCAGCAGGGCCGGAGCCAGGCAGGCAGTGTGCTGGGCAGGAGGTGGGCACCAAGGCGAAGGGCGGGTACAGGGGCAGCCTGTCCCCTCACCCCTGCCACAGGCTGGCATCCCAGCACCAGGCACACCAAAGGCTCCTTTGTTGGGGGCTGCTTGGCACAGCCCCGTACAGAACACACTGGGCCCATTCTCCCTGCAAGCCAGGCTGGGTGAGGTCAGCAGAGAGGAAGGGTCAGTGAGGGCCCGGGAGGAAGGGACTGGCCTAGCCCACTCGTGCCCCTGCCTGTGCCCCAAGGGATTCCCTGAATTCTGCTCCCACGCCAGCTGCCCAGAGGGCCGAGCCTGGAGTGAGGGGGCCACTCTCAGGAACCAGGGACCTGGGGAACGTTGATTTGTAGATGAGCAGAATTTGGGGTGGGGGTCCCTGGGCCCTGAGTCTTGGGGCTTCTCCCCCTGAACCCCAGTCTGTGGCCAGGCCCTCATCGTCCCCAAGCAGGCTCGGGGGTCCCGATTGGACTCTGGGACAGGGATGGAGGCAGGAGCAGGAAAAGTCCCCTCTTAGCGGTTGCAGGAGGCACACGCGCCAGGGCCTGGCTGTGCTGTCCTGCTCTGTGATCTCCAGGGGGTGGCACCTGCCGCCCAGGTTTCTAACCGCTGACCTCCAGGTGGGCTGCCCTCCCAACCTCACCCAAATCTCTCCTCTCCCTGGAAACAGGATGCCCCCCCAGAACACTGAGACCACAGCTGCCAAAATGGAAAAGCAGGTAACCGGTGCCCTCTTTTTGGTCCCTGTCCCCTTCATCCCCAGGGACAGTTCTCCAGGGGGGTGGGAAGAACTAGGTCTCAAAGAGTCTGTGGGGTCCCAGGAATGCACCTGTCCCTGGGGTAACAGGCCCAAGCCCAGGCCTGGGGGGCAGTGCCCCCTGGGTGGTCCCTTGATCTCCACCAGCTCCCAGCACTGTCAGCACAGGATGGCCTGCGAGGCCCCCCTACGGCCATCCGGGAAGGTCAGGGGGCCTCGTGTGGCACAGAGCCTGCCCCGGCAGCTGCAGGCCTCGGGCCAGTGGGCGATGTGTTCATCGCTTTGCACGCCAGGCCCTGGTTCTGGCCTGAGTGGTGATCTCTCCTGCAGGAGACTCAGACCGGGGGGACGTGCATGGGGCCTGGGCCTGGGGCTGGGGGCTGGGGGCCCTCTCCGGGCCTGCTCTGGAGACCTAGACCAGTGTCTCCAACCCAAGCCACGGTGAAGGCTGACGAAAGGTGTGAGGAGGCCACTTGTCACCATGGTGACAGGGCCAGCAGGGGTTCGGCTCCTGGACCTGACACTCCCCACCACTCAGTGTTTCTGGAGGAGCTGGGGTTGGCAGTGAGGAAGGGCGGCCCTTGTCTAGAAGCTTCCAGGGAGGGGAGCGAAGGTCTGACTGCTGAGGAGGTGGTCTGAGGCCAGGGACCCCTGCCCACTGCCTGGGCTCCAGAACAGAGCAGGGAACCCCTGAAACTTGGCCATTTACCCATAACCTCTCGAGCTCAGGCCCCATGTCTGCCCATGTGGGTGGTCAGCACAGGGGGAGGAAGCCCGGGATGGACAAGGAAGCCACAGGAGAGGCCCCTGCCTGCGCCTGCACCCACTGGGTGGGACCCGGACCCTCCTCTCTCTCCCCCACCAGGCCTAAGTGAAAGGCCAATTCACAACCCCACCCACGGGGGGAGCCCCAGCCCCCAGGACTCCTGCTGAGTGCCAGCGGGCACAATGGAGCCCATGTGCCTACAGGGGTGGGGCCAGGCATCCCAGAGTCTACAGAGGAGCCACTGCTCCCAGCACGTGGGTGGCTGATCCCAGGCCAGAGGGCTGCCCCCCTGCCCCCAGGGCCCTCTCTGCCCCTTTGCACAGCAGCCCCTTGGCAGAGGAGGCAGTGAGTGGAGGATTGTCCCCAGGCTTACCAACGGTGGCTGCCAGGTCTAGAAGGGGACCTCTCCCCACAGCCCGGCTGGGAGGCAGCCACAGGGAGACCTGGGTCCACACATGCGCCTGGCCCCAGCTGTCCCCTGGCTCCAGAGCTGAGTGTTGGGGCTTCCCAGGGCCAGGCCTGCGGACCCCCAGGACACACCCCACGCCCACCACCCAGCCCCCAGCCCTGCTGCACACTCACCTGAGCGCCCCGGCTGCTTGGCCATGGGCAGGGAGACCTCGGTGAGTGGCAGGACGTACACGTCGGGCCCGTTCTGTGCCACAGCGGCCGGGGAGCCCTGCGCCGAGAAGTCGGCCGCATGCTCATCCCCTTCGGCATTCTCAAACTCCTGCGGCCGGGCCGGGCACAGCACACCATGAGCTCGGCTCGCGGAGGGCCAGAGGGAAGGGTGGGGCTGGGCCCTGAAAGGCTCCTTTCTTCCCGGGCCCAGTTCCCACCCCCATCTGGGTGTGCTTGACCCAGAGTTGGAGCCCCCACCCCTGCTGGCTGCTCCTACACCCACCTCCGCCTGCAGACCCCGCTCCTAGCTCCCTCCCTCCCCAGGGATGGCTGTCCCAGGAGGGGCCAAGGCAGAACCAAGAGACAAGACTCATCTCAGCCTCCGGGGAGGGGACCGCGCTCTCTGGGACAGCAGCGCTTGGCGCAGCCTCAGCCCAGCCCCACCACGCCAGAGGCAGGGGACCGAGGGACACAGGCGAGGGCCTCAAGGCCAGCTGCCTTGCCCATCCCCAGCAGCTCCTCACCCCTGCCCTGCCCATGGTCCCATCCTTGCCCCAAAGTCATCCAGGAGAAGCAACTAAGTGTCCCCACCCCTGCACAGACAAGGAGCGTTCCTGAGTGCCCCGGAGCAGCAGGCCCACCAGCCACTTTCACCCCAGAGGGGCACCCTGCACCTCCCACGGCCATCATCACCTGCAGGCCGCCTTGGACCTTTACCCTGGGACGGCTGCACCACCTACAGGAGCTCCCAGGGCTCCTTAAGAGCCTGCCCTGGGCAGCTCAGGGCTGGGCCACTCCTGGCCAGGCTGCTATTTTGAAATGCACCTGCCACACCTGTCTAGGGGAGACACCACCCCCAGGTCCAGAGCACATTCCTGAGCAGACAGCCAAAGTCTCCCGAGAAGTCCTGGGCCTGCTTTAAAACAACGCTTGCTAACACCAGCAGCACCCCTGGCACACTGGTCCAGCCCCTCAGAGCTACGCTCATGGGGTCCCGCCCCACAGCCCCCACCGCCCCAGTGGGGAAACTGAGGCTCAGAGGGGTCGAGGGACTTCCCGAGGAGCTGAAGCCTGGCCACCCACTCTGGGCCCCTCCTCTCAGGGAAGAGGCCTGGGTTCCTGGCACAGCTGTGGCGGTCCCCCCCTTTCCCTGGGCCTCAGTTTTCTTGCTGCAAAGAATCCTGCAGGCCAGTCCCAGTCCAAGAGGACAGAACCACCTGGGGACAGGGGAAGGGGCTGGTGCCTGTGGCAACTCCCCCTCCCCAGGGCCCAGGAACTCTCAGGGAGGAGGCCTGGGTTCCTGGCACAGCTGTGGCGGTCCCCCCCTTTCCCTGGGCCTCAGTTTTCTTGCTGCAAAGATTCCTGCAGGCCAGTCCCAGTCTGCACTCCAAGAGGACAGAGCCACCTGGGGACAGGGGAAGGGGCTGGTGCCTGTGGCAACTCCCCCTCCCCAGGGCCCAGGAGACCACCCTAGAAACCCTCCCACCCTGGGCCTGCTGCTGCCCCAGCCCCACCCACACAACTGGGCTCTGTGGAGGGGCCCAGAGCCCAGACGCCCACCTCCCCCCATCCAGGGCCAGCCCTGGCTCCAGCCTGTTACCTGACCGTGCGGCCTGGGGGCCCAGCGGGCCCTGCCAGCCCAGCGGGCAACCAGGCAGCAGAGGGTGAGCATCAGGGCTCTGCCCAGCCCCTTCCCCAGCGCACTGCAGGTGGGGAGCCCGGCACTGGCCCCCCAGAGTCCAGGAAAGAGCCCGCGGTGGAGGCAGGCCCTCCCACAGAAGCACGTGGTGCTGGAATGTTCCGGGCATCATGTTCCCGAGGAGGTGAGAGGGCAGGGGTGGGAGGGCTGTGGCTGGCCCTTGTTGGGGCCTTGTTCTCACAGGGCCCTGGGGAGGGGCAGCTCATACAGTGGCCCACAAGTGCCACCCTGGGTCCCCGCCCCCCACAACCTTGAAGCTCAGGCCTCAGGGTCCTCCAGGAAAACGCCCAGCGTTGCCTGGCCCAGCCCGCTGTGTGTCCTCAGGTCAGAGGACGGCATCCCTGGGGTGCAGAGGGACACGTGGGCAGGAGCACAGACCCTGCAGCTCGGGGGGCCACAGCCCTGGCACTCGCACTCAGCTCCCCGCTGGCTGTCAGAGGACTGGGCCCACCTCAGAGGGTCTGGAAGGCTGAACAAGCCGGCAGATACGGGCTTTGGGAAAGGCAGGGGCCACGTTCATCGTCCTCACCTGCCACATGGGACAGGTGGCAGGTGCGAGCTTCCAGGCTCAGCTCTGTGACATGACGTACTGGGGGGGAAGGTGGGGCGCCAGGACTCTGGGGCTGTTTCTCTCAAATGGGAGCGACATTGGCAGGGGTTTGGGTCGACAGGTCAGAGATGCCCCCAAAATACAAGTGGGGTGCGCCCAGCAGCTGCTCCCACCCTGACCTCTCTGGCGCAGGCCCGCGAGCCCCGGGGCGGGGCTGAGCCACGTGCGAGTGCCCGGACTGCACCCACCGAGCGGCAGGGACACGGCCCGCGGGCTCCGGCTGGGCGCCTCTGGGTGGGGTTCTTAGTCCTGAGCCCTTCCAGCCCCGTCCTCCCTGCTCAGAGCTACAGCTGGCCATGGGGTGGGTGGCCACGGGGGCGTGCAGGGCGGGGGACAGCACCCCAAGGGATGCCCTTTGGCCGCCGTCCGTGCTCAGGAGGGAAAGGCCTCTGCTCCAGCGGTCAGTCTTGGGGGCTCGCCCTGTGAGGCCCGCCATGCGCCGGGCAGAGATCCAGCTGTCATGTCCGTCCCGATTTCCAGCACACAATGAGCAGGGAATTTGAACAGGACCCCTGGGGAGGCAAGCCCCCTCCCACTCCGGCCCAGGAGCCCCCAATCAGCATCCTTAAGCACTGAGGGGCCACCTTGAGCCAGGATACGACAGCACAAGGCCACACCCCCTCAGAGGGCACCCAGAGTGGCGGACGAAGCGGGCGGGGGCCCCGAGCGCCCCAGAGGAGGGCTGTGGGATCCCAGGCCCAGGGTCCAGATGTCCCCAGATAGCCTCACAGCAGCCACAGCCACCCAGCAGCCACCTTGGTGGGCCCAGGAGGGAGGGAAGCTCAGTGCCAAATGGACACGAGAGGGCCCTGGGATCCCATGGACAGCCCACGGCGGACCCCCAGCCCTCACCTTGAACCCGATGCCGCCCTTCTTACAGCACAAGCAGGCCAGCATGAGGACGATGGCAGTGAAGAGCCCTGAGAAAGACACAGCCACCAGGGCCAGGGAGGACGACCAGGAGGGCTCGCTCAGCGGGGCGCCGTCTGCTGAGGAAAGGGCGCGGTCAGGGCAGCCCCCAGGCCGGCCCCAACGCCGCATGCAGCGCCCCGGGTGCACCACACCGGGTCCTCACCTCGAGGGCCAGCCAGGGCTCCCTGCCCTGGGCTCTCCTGCCCACCCAGGCTCCAAAGTGCCCTCCCAAGACCCCACACTTAGAAGTACGGCCTAAAGCAAGTGGGCAGAGGGGACCCAGTGGCTGGAGCCTGCAGTCCTGCAGCCGGTCACAGGGCGCTGCTGTGGCCTCATGCAGGGACATCAGGTTGACAAAGCAGCCAGAGCCTGCCCAGCTCCTGATCCTGGGGTTGATGGACAGCTCTCTGAGAGCTCAGGGTCTCAGGGGCTGCCAGGGACCCCTTCCATGTCTCTCCACTCCAGTCACCCCACCTTGCCCCTCTGGGGCTCAGAAGGGGTCACAAACTCTTGCCACTCAGAGGAGATGGTTGAGCTGGCCACTGACTGGCCACGTGCTGGGCTCTGGACAGCTGGGGTTGGGGCCATGAGATGTAAGGCCTGTCCAGCCACCCAGGTGAGGGGACCCTCCACACTGCCTGGCGTCTCTGGGTTGTCCCCATGCTGAGCCCACCAGGTCTCTCTGGTGCTGCTTCTGTCTTGGGGACAGTGGGGACCCCTCTTCAGCACCTGGTCCACATGAGCCCCCTCACTTCAGATGGGCAAACTGAGCTTCCCAGGCCAGCAGAACGTGCCCCCTATTATGGACTGAATTGTGTCCCCCCAAAAGTTTAATGCGCTGGAGGCTTGGTCCCCACTGTGACAGCGTTAAGAGATGGGAAATCCTATTGTGGTACTGGAAGGCGGGGCCTTGGAGAGGTGATTGGACCGTGAGGACCACAGCCTTGTGTGGGGACTGGCCCGTTGTCGGGATAACGGGAGCGGTTCTCGTGGTTCTCAGGGGAGAGGAGGACGTTAGTCTCCCTCTCTGCTCCGCCGTCTCCTGCCATGTGAGAGCCCTGAGCCGCTGTAAAGCCACCACCAAGAAGACCCTCGCCATAAGTGTTCCCTGGACTGGGGGCTTCCCCACCTCCAAAACTGTGAGAATAAACCTCATTCTCTTTATAAACCCCCAGGTCCAGGTATTTTGTGATCAGCAACGGAATCGGATGAATACAGCCCCCAACACCCAACCAACTACTGAGCCGGAGTCCGGCTCCCAGATGAGGGCTCCCAAGGCAAGCCAGGCTCTGGGGAGGCTCGGTCCATCTAGTGCCACAGGATGGCACGGTGAGGCCAGCCTGGGCATCCCCTGGAGAGAGCAGGGGCCTGCTGAGCTGGCAGCTCCCGCCCGCTCCAGGCCTGCCCTGCCCCACCACGCCCGGCTCCAATCCACGCCCTTCTCAGGGCTTTGTCTGTCTGTCCTCCGCTTGGCTGCTGGAGGTTTTCTGGCCCATGTCCAGCTGTCCCGGCCACTGAGCAACCTCTCAGCTCCCAACACTGACCCCTCAAGACCCTGTCACCTGCACACCACCGAGGCAATCACTATTTCTACCCCGCTGGACAGGCGAGGAGGCAGGCTCAGCATTGGGAGGCGCCACCTGAGCGGCGCAGCTGGCCTCCTGCTGGCCAGCTCCTGCCAGGGCTGCGGGCTAACGGCGCATCTGGGAGGGCTGCCTGGAGGCGGTGTGAGCCTGAGTGTCTGGACAGATGGCGAGTGCAGCCTGGTCTTCCTGCTCAGGTCTCCAGGCCCATTTCCCACACCCACACACAGGAAGAGAGGGGTCCGGGCAGCTGGGGCGGCGGCCAGACAGGGCTGGGGGACAGGAGGGAAGGGTTGGCCCACAAAGCGAGAGGTGCCACCATGGTGGGGAAACCAGCTCAGCCTGCACATGGAGAAAACTCGTGTGCCGGGCAACTGCACCCGACGGGCCGTGTCCCCCACCCTGCAGGGCCGCAAGCCGATACCCTCGCGGGCCTTTGCAAATGAGGCTCCAGGGGTGCACATGTGTGTGTGCGTGCCTAGGTGAGCACCTCCACTCCGGGCAAGCCCCCCACTGTGTTCTCATCCCTGCATGGTACAGGAGCGCGGGCGCCAGGCTCATGGACCCCAGGATGCAGTCCCGTTGCCATGGTGACCCTCGCCCCCTTCTCCATCTGTGCCCGCTGGGAGTCAGCACGCTCCCCGCCTGCCACCCTCCAGCACCCCCCACCCCCGGCTAGCCGAGGACTTCCGGGCACTTCCCATATGGGACAAACTGGCTGAGTGCATGAGCCCACTGGCGCCTTGGGGCCTGGGTGGGGCTGGTCCCCTGGTCTTCAAAGGTGGCACCAGGCGCCACGGCCCATCACCCACCCTCCTGCCCCTAGACCTGTGCAGGTCATCTGCTGGTCAGGAGCTGTCCCGGGAGCCGGTCCTCAGCCTCCACCTGAGGGTGCAGCAGCATTGGGAGCCCTTCCCCCAGCTCATGACCATGCCGTCTTGCAGATGAGGACGCGAGGCCGTGGGAGCTAGGGGACTTGGTTGGGGTCACCCATGAGCCTGGGCCCTGCCCACCACGGCCACGGGAACACAGGAGGTTCCAAGTGCCCTCCACTGCAGGCTGCTATCCCCAGCCCTGCGGGGACATCTGCCACCCAGAAGCCCAGAGCCACTCCATGCCCTCGTCTGCAGGGGCCCCACTGACTGCCAGCTCGAGACACACCAGGGACACCGTGATGCTGGTCGGAAAAACACAGCACTCACACGTACCAACACACGTGTGCAAACACGTGAACTCACATGCACAGACACATGACACAGCCACATGTGTGAACACACAGAGACACAAGATGTACACACATGACCACACATTACCCACATGCACAGGCACACTGTGTACAGAGGCACACTCATAAACATGCACACACAGACACATGTGCACATCACACATGAACACGTGCCACACACGTGCACGCACACACACGTGCACACATGACACAGCCACACATGAGAGCACAGGCACCGGCACAGACAGGCACAGGAAGTGGTCTGTGCACTATGTGTCCACGTATCCACATGTGCAGATTTCCTCCCTTGAAGGTCCCCCGAGGGCGCCCGGGGGCAGAGACTCCGAAACCGTGCCCCAGTGTGCTCAGCTGAGGAACAGTCCCGCGACGGCACCAACGTGACCCACTCGTCCCAGACTAGCGCGGGAAGATGCACGGCATGTGGCTTCGTTGTTCCCGAGCCTCCGTGCACAGCCCCCCCGACCAGATGCCAGCCCCTCGGCTCTTCAACACGAGCTCCAGCACCATTTGTCCCCAGACTCTCCCAAACCCCCGCCTTGCTGTGCCCACCGATCCTGTTGCGCCTCTCATGCCGTCCTAAGCAGGCCCACTTTAAACCAGAACCCTGAGGAGCCCCCGCAGGGCCCCCAAACCGCTGCCGAGCCGGGGTCCCCAGCCAAAGTCTCATCAACAGTGCAGCGGGGTGCTTAGGGGAGCTGCAGTCACACCCCCCAACAGCAGCAGGCACACGAGTGCCAGATTGTGGCTTGCCAAGGCCACCGTGCACTAAAGGAGCCAGGCCTCCCCTGTGGCAGGTATTCCAAGATGCGCCAGGATCCTCACGGCCCGCAAGTCCTCCATTCACAGCCTGTCCCCTCGCACCTGACTCGGCCACCACTCGGACCCCCGATGGTGACTCTACTTCTACTGTCCCTCCACTAAGGGAGGGGAGCCTCCCCCCACACTCACCTGTTTGTTCACATCAGTGCTCGGGAGGCCTGTTTTTATTCCCGTTCATCTCTTTATGTCACACATAGGCATTCTGATGTTTTCAGTGAATTGTAATGTGTTACTAGAGTTATTTAGTTTCGTTCTCAAATCGCCCCAGATTTGGTAAGAGGGCACCTCGTACATAGAGACAGAATAATGACCCTCGAAGCTGTCCACCTCCTAACCCCGAAACCTGTGGCGATGTCAAAAGGGACTTTGCAGCTGTGATTAAGGTAAAGGTCCTGTGATGGGAGACTGTCCTAGATTATCGGATGACTCCAATGTCATCTCAAGGGTCCTCAGAAGAGGGAGACAGGGAGGTCACTTTGGAGAGGAGACAGGACCACAGAGGCAGAGGTCCGACAACCTGAGGAAGGGCCACGGGCCGGGGCCTGCGGGCAGCCTTAAGAAGCTGGAAAGGCAGGGAACGGGTTGTCCCCGAGAGCCCCCAGAGCCGGCCCCCCAGCACTTCAGTTGCAGCCAATGAAAGTGACATCACACTTCTGACCTCCAGCACCTGAAATAAGAGACTTGTGCTGCTTTACGCTGCTCCCTGTAGGAGTTTGTTACAGCAGCCCCAGGAAGCTAACGCAGCAGCCCTTCCAGGTGGCCCCCGGTGGCCAAGCTGAGCCTTCGAGGCATGGCTAGCCCGATCACCCGCCTCAGATGCCCTTGCAGGACTGGGGGGTGGGGCGCCCACGGAACTCTTGTCCCGACAGGTGGATCAATGTGCCTAGCCTGGGCGGGTCCCCAGAGCACCTGGCTTCAATCCTCCAAGTGACGTTGACTCACTGCTCGGCAGGTGCAGCTCCACGTGCATGCAGCTCCAGGAGGAGGTGGCCTGGGTTAGGGGGAGGGGAGCCCTTCTAACCAGAGGAGACCCTGAAGCCCACCAAGAAGCCTCCCACTGGCTTCTGGTCACAGTGGTGGGAGAAGCCACCGGCCCGCCCTGGGCAGCTTTGCTGGGGGCAGCTCCAGGCCGGGTGAGTCTGCCCGGGCTCCTAGCCGTCCCTGTCAGGCCGGGAGGGACAGGTGGGACAGGGATTGGTGCACCAGGGCATCCTTGGGCCAGACCAGCCCTGCCCCTCACCGGCTGTGGGGACCTCAGCCTCTCCACCTGGGAAAGTGGGGGTGCCCTACCTCCAGCGTCACCTGGTGCACTGCACTGAGCATGCAACAGAGACATGTCAGCCCTCAACATCAACCGACCTGGCCCCCACCCC